CTTAACTGTTTAGGCACTAGTATTTGTCCCATTGCGCAACTTTACGTGTCCGTAGTCGACGGCCGTCCACCCCGTCCAGGACGGCGCCAAGGCAGTCCGTCCCGTCCAAAGACGAGACAGTCTCGTCCTTCGTCGTCCTCACCCCGTCTTGGACGGACTGGACGACTGGAAGCACTGCCGCAGACTACCACCTCTGATGTCCAACTCGTTTTTTTATCCAGTTCGGCCGCGCTAGTCCTTGATGTCTCCTCATGGCGCTTTTAGCGCGGGTGGTGGTTCGCGCGCCTAACCCAACTTGCTCGAGCACGCTACTCGAGTGTAATACTCGTACTCGTACTGTACCATAAGTTAACCACTGCGGGCTACGAAACAGCCTCTGAAGGGGGGAGGCTCACCGGGGCTGGTTTGGTACGCGGGCAAAATGCTTTTACGAAAGTGATACTGATGGTGTAGATGAAGACATGCGGGTAGCGGTGCTGAGGGCGACGGAGGGATAAATTCTGGATTGGGCCGTACCAGTGTACGAGGATAGTATCATATGCTCTTAATTTAGTAGTCATTGGACCCCTACCCAGGGCAGGACTTCATCGATTCTTGTCACTAACCCCCCCCTTCGTGTCAACTCTACCCACGCCGCACGACCGCATCCCCAGCCGCCGCTACCCTTACTGGAAAGGTGACCCCGCAGGGCAATTCGGGCGTGTGCTCGAGTACCTTCTCCACGCCCACATGGGCAGACTCGTGAGAGCAAATGCAACAGACACTTCGAGATATGATACTACAATCTAACACCGGTATTTGATCGTGGAGCACACTGTATTTTTGGAGTTTATGAAACAAAGCGACCACCGCTGGGATGACCCAACCCACACATATCATCCATGTCCGAGGGGGCTACAGGTAGCCCATGTTCAGCGGGCCAAAGCCCACTGTCAGATATCCCCTCCTTCAGCTTTAAATACAGACAGTATTCCCTCCTCTCTCGAAAGAAACTCCTCTCTTCATCACGCAGAACATCCATCAATCGAGAATCACACCAATCGCATTTCACACAGCATATCACTATTCATCAATTGAAAATCACTCCAATCGCCTTACGCAGACTATCGCTCTCTGACGATCGAAAATCACTCCAACCGCACACTCGCAAAAAAAAGAAATCTCCCCGCATTTTCCCAACATGTCAGGCTACTACGGCAATTCTCACTCTTCTCGGGGCAGCGGATATGCTGCCGGGAATTCTAACTCTTCTCAGGGCGGTGGATATGCTGCCGGGAATACTTACTCTTCTCAGGGTGGTCTGCATGGCGAAGCTGGTGCTGCACTCAGAAGATCTTCTGCCTACGCACCTAACTATGGCAGCAGTGGGTATTCGCAGCAATCGCAGTATCAGGGCTATGGCCAGTCTGGTACTAGCGAATGGCAAGGATACGGGGAGGAGGATGTTGAGCCCATCAAGGAGGAAATTAGGGCTATCAAGTCTGCGTCGGTGTCCTCGACCAGGAGTGCAATCCGTGCCGCTGCGCAGGCGGAAGAAAACGGTTTGGAAACACTCCGTCGTCTCGAGAGCGAACGGGACCGCGATGCTAGCAGAAACCTCAGCCAAGGGACCCGGGACCGCATTCAAAACCCTTGGCGCTTCGAGAGTGGGGGGGGGTTGGGAAGTGAGAGCTTTCGCCGCCGGTAACCGGGTTGATAGATAGAACGAGCAGATCGACGGGATCATGAAGGTATTTCTGTCACCCTATCCAGTAAATTGAAAACAGTATTGACCCGCACAAACAGGTTAATCACCTCATTGACCAAATCACCCTCAACCACAGTAGTCTCCACATGATTCATTAGATGGAAATGCTTCAGGGTATATGTTGAGGAGCTATAGTCGTTCTTGTGGTTCTCCTTAATCGTGCCTATATTCTGTTCCCCCCCCGTCCTCTTAGTTGTATTCGAAATTGCTGTCGTGTGTCTGTTTTCCTGCTTCTATTTTTCTTTTCTTTTCTTCTTTGCCCTGATATCTTGCTTGTTTGTATTCGAAAGTTCTGTTCTGTGCCAGTTTGCTTTGCCGTTAGTAGTTTGAATTTAGGCGGGAATTGCGATTTGTGGCTTTTATTATTATCTTGAGATAGTTTTTTGTTTAGGCAGTATGCACTTGTCTCTTTTTGTCTTGCTCCAACGCACTCCACGGCATAGCGAGCAGTACACTCAAATACTAGCACATTTTACAATCTTGACTGACGCTCAACTCATTGCATCGCCTAAGTCTGGATGCATTATGGCTCTCTATTGTTGGAAATTAGTGCTTGCTGCGCTGGATGCTCTTGGACGTGCCTAGAACACTGTGGATGAGAACCAGGGCATTCTTGCCTCTTGGTTGAAGCAGATTCCATACTGGAGGCGTCTCGTCCGCGAAATATTTTTCTTCTGTGGACACCGTTGCTGCAGACTAGCGGTATGGGGCAAAAAAAGTTCTTTGCACGCTAGTTTTCAGGGGGGAGGAGGGGTGAAAGTTTCTCCACGGAGGTTTGGGAACTCGGAGAAGTAATTATGGGTCCTGTATTTCTTTACTCCCTTCCTTTCTGATCGAATTAAGTTTTTTTTTTTTTTTTTTGTTTTTATTCATTTATGCATCTAGCCGTATGGCTATGGCACAATATAAAACTACCTATGGAACATAACCACAGTTTACCCCACATCCACCCCTACTTCCACAGTATCAGTTCTTAGCCTGCACCTCCTGGCCTACCCTGTAGACCATTTCCTATGCCAGTGCCAGTGCCCCCCCCACTCAGTGTACTCCTGCCACTGACCTCCCGATTGTCTGGCAAGTGTGATTTCCTCTCATCCCCTGAAATGCCCGCCAAAGCTTGAGCGATGCATCTTTTCCCTTCTCAGTCCACAAGAGTTTGGAAAGAGTTAGCGCTCCCATCCCCAGCCTGCTCTTTGCCCTCTTCCTCTGCCCTGCCAACAGGCGGCAACTCAGCAATACATGCTCAACTGTCTGACTAGCAGCACCGCAGAAGCAGGCAGGTGATGCTATCTTCCCAATACGGTGTAGATAATGTCCACAGTCAACATGACCAGTTCTAAGCCTGCTCAAAAGTACCCTCGTTCCTCGCTCTCTGCGATCGAATACCACCCTCCACCGCTTACTCGGCGTTCCACCATACCTCTTGCCCTTACCTGCTACTGACAATCTATAGTGGTTACTCCACTTCTGCCCACAAAGCTCACGTGCTCGCCGCCGCAAATATGCTACAGAGGTGTAAGCATATTGCCCACAGCGTGCCAATTTAGCTCCCTCCTTCGCAAGTTTGTCTGCCTGCTCATTCCCTTCCACCCCACAGTGTCCCTTTACCCATCCTACTGTAGTAGAAATGTTGTGTCTCGCAGCTCTTGCAACAAGTGCCCATATCCGCTTAACAATGGCCTCGCCTGAAGAAGTTTCCCTCCGCCCTACTCGCTGTACTGCTGCCTGATTATCAGCTAGGACTAAGATCTTTTTCTTGTCCTCTCTAACTGCCATCAATATTGCATTGCGCACCCCAGCCTCAATACCTACCAGCTCACTATCGTAGACCTCCATCTCCTTTCCAAGAGGAATCCTTGCACCGTGCTCCTGACCAGTACTATCTCTCCTCCACCAGCCTGCTCCTACCCCCCCTCTCATCATAGATCCATCCGTAAAGATCAAAACCTCATCACTCTCTTCCTGCCGTGTTCTCATAATTTCTATAATATTCCCCCCTTTTTCTTTGTTCACTCCTCCAGCCTGAATAGTAGGACACTGTCCCCTTACCCCACCCTTATAACCAACCTTTTCAATCTTGCTTCCGCTAGATCTTGTAAGCTCCCGTAGGCTCTGTGCCATCTTCTCACCAGGGGTAATCCGCTGTTCAATACTCCGGCTCCCTCTCCCTTCCCGGTAAGCCGAATCTCGTTCCCCAAATGATATTTTCCTCTGCCCCACTAAACTGCTAAAGTCATGGCCATTGGCCCCCGATACAATCAATATAGCCTGTCGATATGTGCGCTCCTGCAGCCGTACTGACATGGGAGGCACTTGGGTTTCGATAAGCACTGCCTGCCCTGGGGTACTCCGGAACATTCCCCCAATTCGCCGTAGGTTTCGCATGTTTACTGTATCCACCTGCTCTATCAACGCTCGTTGATTCTGCCACCATGCATTTGATCCAAACTCAAAGCTCGCTCTTGCACAAGCCAGGTAGAGCTGTCGGGCGGACCCCACTCCCATTCCCTTAGCCATACATAATCTTGTTAGAAGCCCACCGCTAATCTTCAGAGCTGCCAGCTTCTTCTTAATATGCGCCTGAAAATTTAGGGCATCATCAATCCAAACACCCAGAACCCGGATATGCTTTGATGATCTAACAACCTGACGATTCGGTAGTGTCACCATGCCTGGGCCTCCCCCTATGCATACTAGCTCTGTCTTATTCCACTCCCAAATGAGACCATTTGAGTCATTCCACTCCTTTGCTGCTACCAATAATTCCTCTGCAGTAGTAGCGTTCATGGCCTGGTTTTGACCACTGATTCTTATAATCACATCATCAATAAAACTGGTCACGCGAATTCTCTTCTGCGCAAACCTCTCCTGTAATAAATACAGCAACGGGGCTAAATAGATATTGAAGAGAGCTGGAGAGCATGGGCTCCCCTGAGGAATTCCGGTATCAACTGCTGCCCATGGTCCCTGGGCCCCATCAAATCGTAGACTTGCCGTACGGCTGCTCATGAAATCCTGAACCCAAGTCGCGAGGTATGTTGGGTACTTTAACTTAAGCATGGTATTAACCAAAGCCCCACGTGAGACATTCGTAAATGCTCCTTTCACATCAATAGCAAGAAGCATGACCTCTTGCCCATCCCGTATCTCCTCTACCATATCCTGAATGGTAAATGCTACCGACAATTCCGCAGACCTTCCCTTTCGGCCACCATACTGATTCGCGTGCAACTTGCCAGCCTCCTCCCCTAGTAACTGTAACCTCCGTGCTACAATGCTCTCATTCACCTTACCCACAGCATTCAGAAGTGAGATTGGTCGATAGGCCTTTACTACACTGTAGTCTGGTTTATTCGGTTTAGGGAGAACAGCAACAACTGCCCTCTTCCACCGCTCTGGATGAACTCCCACTCCTATCATAACATCTGCTGCTGAAAGTATCCAATCCTGGAGAATTGTCCAACATTTTTGAATAACGAGAAATGGTACACCATCCTCTCCAGGTGCCTTATTAGGAGCTTGTAAAAAGATAGCTTGCTTGACTTCCTCGACTGTGACCCTCTCAAATGCCCCCTGATCAACAAATTCCACTTCCCTATCTGGAGGCGCGCTGGGTAAAAGCTCCTCACGTAGGGCTCGTTCCTTTTCTGCGAATGAAACTGCAGTTCCCAGTCCCGTTGACAATTCAGGCAACCTAGTAGTCTGTCCTCCTCTGACTACCCTAAGGATCTGCCACAAGTCACCCCGTCCTCTTTCTGCAACAAAGTCCTCCCACATCTTCTCCTTCTTCTTTCTTATAGCTCTGAAGTAGACATTACGGCAAGTTTTATAATACTTCCATGCTTTAACCCGCTCCTGTTCCAATACCGATTGTTTCCACTGTCTCCGTGCCCGAGTTGCAGCACTGCACAGTACTCCCAACTCCTTATCCCACCATCCTTTAGACCTCCAGTGTATTTTCTTCCTCCTAAACGATGACATTCCTAACCCCAATGCCTCGTCTAACAACCTTGCCAACTCATCCCCATTGCAAGCCTTGCAAGCCTCACTCCACTCTCTATCTCTTTCTCTAACAGCCAGGCCTACCACCCTGATGCACTCCGCCCACTCCTCCATAGTAGCCTCCCTAGTTATATAATGTCCCAGCATCGGTGACACTGCCCACTCTGCCTTGCCTATAACCTCGACCACAATTGCCTCATGGTCAGACCCAATATCTTCATCCCCATAAATAGCCCACCTGGTATCCATTTGACTGGAATCCACATTACACCATGCAAGATCCAGAGTACTGCAAGAACTACCACGCTGCCATGTAGTAACACCCGGCTGGTTTAGCAGGTACAGTCTCTCACGGTCCATGGCCTCCAATAGAGCTGTGCCTCTTGTATCTGCAGTCCTGCAGTTTCCATCCCATACCTCATGGTGTGCATTGAAGTCTCCAAGCAGAAGAAACCCTTCTGCCCCTGCCAGCCCCACTGGCCAGCGGTCCATCACCCGCCCCTGTATAACATGCCCAGCATTGTATACATTACATACCCGTAACCTGAGTCCCCCTTTTTCCACATCCACAATCATCACATCAGCTTCATTCCAAAGTTCCGGTCGAGCACAAAAAAGTAGTCCTGTATCCTTCCGTATATAACTACATACGCGCGGTTTTCTGCCACCTCCAGCTCGTATGACTAGATGGTAACTCGGATGCATTACTGTTACCCATCCACTGGTCGTATCGCCCACCCAAGGCTCCTGAATCACTACCATGTCCACCCCACTTCTTGTTTCCAACGCGCCTTGCATACATATAGTACTCCTATTACAATTCACCTGAAGTATTCGTATATGTTCCGTCATGATAAACCCACAGCTACCTCAGTTGTATCCATTTCCACTTGCTTCTGAGTCCCCACAGGACCTATGTTCCCAAGCACGTTCTGCTT